CAGTTTCGTGTGTGAGAGAGAGGGGTATATTTTGAAATTTTACATAAAATACAAATGCTCTAAATGGTGACAATTAAGAATATAATAAATGAGGAGGAACATAATATTCATATTCATTCATAATAATTTTTTACCATTTATATGTAATAAATATTCCATGTCATTCCTTTTCATTCCTAATAGTATTTGAGAATATAGAACAAAAGTATATCCCATCTAATTCGACAAGGAATAAAAAGAATACATTTTTATGTAGAAACTTTCTTTTTATTATTTCAAATATTTTTTTTATTGCCATTTACAATGACAATTTGTTTCATTTCTTCTCTACAATAATTTTTTTTTAATTTGTTCCATACAATTTTTTCTATTCATTTTTTCCTTCATTCCTATTATTTCTCGAGTGGTCACCAGTTAGAACCAAAGAATATATTGATCAATTATTTTTTTGGTTATCTACCTAATTTATAATTGTTTGATGGTTATTAGACATAATTTCCTTTATTATTATTAGCTCTCTCTCCATATTTTGCATAATTAGAAGGAAACACATAGCTAAATAATAAACATAACTCAATTTATTGCTCCCTCTGGTAATAACAATTACCAAGGGTGTGTACATACTTCTACTTCAATCTCTCTTGGAAAAAGGGTATTCCCATTTTTTTACCGAAAGGAAGAGGGTATTAAAAAAATAAACAAAAGGATAGTTTTCCATGTATGGAAATTAAAGTTTAGGACTAAACTTCAAAATTATAAAAAAGTATAAAATTTGTATTGCCAAAACATGTACTTAAAAGTATAGGAATAAAAAACATATAAACTTATTAAATAACACTGCAGATAAAATTTCATAGTTTGGACATAAATTATGGATGTGGTTAAACCTAGGCATAAATTATTCAAATCGGTTCGATTATGGTAATTCAGATTGAGAATAATATGGATTTGGAAAAATGTTTTCTGCATTGGTTGAAGTTTATATTAACAAATTTATGTATGTTATATTTGGTTCGATTTATTTATCCATTCTTAAATGTAAAAGTTTTCTTCAATATAGCTAATTTTTTTTACAAGAATCCGTGTATTACAAACGTATATATTTAGTGTCGCTTTCGCTCGAATCTCCAAATTGGTAGAAGATGGTACTTTTCATGTATGCCAAATCTAACATGTTTTCTTCATATATTTTCACCTTTTCTCCCTTACATCCATAGCGGCTATGACATTTAGACAATAATTTATTATGATTTTCTAAAATATGTGTTTTAAAAGTTTTTTCTTAAAAATCGGACTGAAAAGATGATAAAACGATTTATCTTAAGATTAATTTGTTGTATCATTTTCTATTTGATTTAAGTTCTCATGATTTGATTTAGTTATGTAAAACTAATCGGTTTTATTCAGTTTCGTCAATTGCATATGTCATGTTATCCTCCATTAACAAATGAAACACATTTTGACCATTAGCATCATTTTATTTTACTAAAAACATAAAATCTACAAATAAAATCCAATTGCATATGTCATGTTATCCTCCATTGACATAAAAAAATCACCTTAATTTTTTCCATTGACATAAAAAATCGCCTAATTTTTTTATAATCTTATATTCATGAGAAATTAAACCGATTGACCATGTAAACACAAATCATCAGTTTTATGAAATTCATTATTTTTAGTATTTACACATATATGACTTTTTATAATTTTTGTTTTATTTTTACCATCATTTGATCACGTAACATAATATAAATATACAATAAAAAGTGTATAGTGACAACACTATTTGATTCAAATATATTATATATTTTTCTTTTTTTTGTCCCTAAAAAATGATCAAGTTGAAGAATATACAGAGTCCAATTAGA